AGGACAACCCCCCTCCCAGCTGAACAGGGGGGTACTCAACTCCCAAGCACTAGCCCGAGGTCCTTCCAAAAGTCCCAAACTGAGGAAAAAAACAGGTTTGGCTCCAGTTGTTAGCAAAACCCCACAAATTCACGCCCCCTACTTTCCAAAGAAGAAAAAAAGAAACCCCACATTGTCCATCTCCAGTGTTGTCCTTCTCCCACCGTGTGCAGGCTCAGATCCTCCTGACTCCGTTTACCTCCCTTGCATCCTCCCAGCAAGAATTCCTGCTCCTACATCGCACCCCAGGTCTCTTTTGGGGTGCAGCGATGGTCCCAGAACCCAACAGAAGCAGCTGGAGGCTCGGGGGGGCCCGGGGCCCAAGGGATGCCCAAGGACCTGGCCGAGCTCTGGTAACCTCGGAGCTGTGGTGTGGCTCTGCCTGCCAACGGAGGGACGCTGCGGGTGTCAAACGAAGCTCGTGCAGCATCTAACGGCGACGTACCTGTCCACCACGAGATTCCCGTCGTTGGTCCGCACCACCGTCCACATGTCCCAGTATTCCGCCTGCGAAGGCTGCGTGTAGGGCCCGAAAACTGCCCCGAGCCTGGGAAAAAAAAAAAAAAAAAAAAAAAAGAGTTCAGAGCACCACAGCAGCAGGCGTGCTCGTGTACAGCTCAAAACTGGGGCAAAAACCAGTCGAGCGCTTCCAGCTTCTGCTGCGAAACACGTGGGTGCGAGCGCAGCACTGGAAATCGTCCCCCAAGGGCATCCAGCGTTGGACTTAACAGCCAGTCTAAAGGGCTTTTTGGGAAAAAAAATTTAAAAAGAGGGTTTGCAACAACTGATCAAAAGATCTATCTGATTGCACACCGTATGTAGAGCGTGGTGAGGGTCTTCACACGCACACGAGCCCTGATACTCGTGGAAGGATTTCAGTGTACAGTGAAAAGCCACGTGGTTTATTATTAGGCTGGAGAGGGAATGGCCCAGAAGATCAAGGTCATTCAAATCCAGGGGCAAATCCTTCCTGGGACAGTGCTGGGGGATCTGCTCACCGGCCAAATAGCCGCTACGCTAATTCCTACGTTGGCCCCCTCCCCGCTTGGCTCACATCCCCCCTGCGGCCTGTGCCCGGCAGCACCGAGACCCGACTCACCCTCTGGAGAAGAAAAAGAAGTTCATCAGCCGCGTGATGACAGGGGACAGCAAACCCCCATCCTTGAGGATCTTGGGCAAGAAGGAAAAAAAAAGAAAGGAGACGGCACCGCTGGGTATCGCAGAGACAGGTAAATCCTGCCTCCTCGCAGGGCTTGGCCCCCGGCTCCCCGTGTTACGGCCGTTTCCCAGCTCAGCCCCGACCCTCGAGATGTACGTGAGCTCTGGGCGGTGGGGAGACGTCAGCGCTTCCAGGGGCGATGAGTTGGGACGTTGGGATGCGACGAGCCGCATCCCGACAGCCCCTGCTTCTCCTTGCCACGCGTAAAGATGCCCACGAGCAGCTCAAGTGCCACCACCGAAGCAGGAAAAGCAGCAGGGAAACCCCCAAACTCACGGAGTCACTGCTCGAGGGGTGATTCAGGAGGACTAGAGGGGGAAGCAGCTCACCTGCTGGATGAACCGGGGGTAGTGCGTTTCGGGGAAGATCCCTGGAAGGATGTCAAAGAACAGAGTCATAACGCTGCAAGTGTTTTGCTCTGCATCTCCCAGTCTCCTCCGTTCTTCGTGGTGCCACGAAAGGTACCACAAATGCAGCCCGAGGACTGATGGCTCGTGATTAATTACAGCACCTTAATTGCATTTTTTGAGGGGGGTTCTGGTGGTGCTTTCCCTTGGGTGATGGAGATGGGAAAGGCCATCCCGTCCCACGGATCCCCATCCCTCCCAGCCCGCCCATCCCACGACGCTGGGCAAACCCTACCTCCGTTGGATAAACATAGGCTGTTGATCAAGATGCTTCCAGTTTTATTGTGTTCATACCTGAGGGACAGAAGAGAAGAAGGTGAAACACAACTAGATCTTCTCAAGGCTCCAAGAAGGGACCAGCCAGCGGGTCAAATTAACAGTGTCAGGTCATCTCTGCTCCCCTGTTGCCCCCAGTTCGTTAAGAAGGAGCTCAGGAGGGAAGTTAACCATCCTACCAGCCAGCAACTGATGGATGGGAGCCTCAGATCTGCCTACCACGGATGTGCCCTGAGACCTCTCAGCCTTCGTTACAGCTGTAGCTACAGGGGACAGGAGGTTCTGTGCTATGTCCTTCCGCTTATCTGCTGGAAATCATCTTGACGGGGACAACAAAGAGCAGCCAGAGCAGCAGGGGTTGCAGTGACCTGTGGAGCAGCTCCTGTGCGACCGTATCCCCGTAATCGTGCGACAGGAGATTAATCCTTTGGTGGCGGAGGCCGAGGTGACGCACCAGCCCCTCGACGATACTGGCTTGCTCAAAGATGGAGTAGCGGTGGGGCCTCTGCGAAGCAAAGCGGGAGAGGAGGCGCGGTGAGAGCCTGACCCGCCACGAGCCCACGAACTCCAGAATAAACACCCAAATGGTGGAATATGGGGTGAAGAGCAGCAGTTTGTGACCCCAGACCGAGCAGTCGGGATGGCCTGGGCCAGCAGCTCTGTCCACAGGCCTACGGGAGCGCTGCCCATGCCCCGAAGGGGTCAGGGTGTGCTTTGGAGTCACGTCAAACCCAAGTAAAGGCAAGATGGTGACAGAGCTGATCTCCATCACGCACCTTCCCCACCCCTTCCACTATTATAAGGTCTTATTCCTTTTCCAAACGTAAGTGGGAGAAGAAACTGGATGGCAAATGCCAACTTTCTGGGGGTGCTGGCGCGGCAGAACCACCTCTGGGCCAAAAACAACTGGAAAAATCCTCTTCGGCTACTTACAGGCTTGTCACTGAAACCGAATCCTACGAAATCCAGAGCGATCACCCGGTGAAACCGCTGGGTCAGCCCTTCCCATATCTGGAAAAAAGGAGAAACACACTAAAAAAAACAAAAAACAAACGGCTGATGGGAACGGAGAGGGGAAAAGTCTGCGGCGATGCACAGCTGTGGACAGCCACGCTCCCCTCCGCTCCCCCAGACAGCACCTTCCAGCTCCGAGAAAACTGCAGGAGGTTGAATTTTCCCAATAAACAGCAAGACCATCCCCCCAAAACAGCCAAGAAATAGTTGTGGGTCTTTTCCTCCCGCTTCGGGCTGGAGCGTGGGGAGAAAGCGACGTGAAAAGAGCCTGGGTCCCCCGCAAGGTGTCGGGGGAGGAACAGGGTGGATAGCCCAGAGTGCGGTGGTACCCCCAGCAGAAAGTCCTGGGCTGAGCCACCACCCGCGTCCATCTGCTCATCCCCAGGAGGGAAAAACCACGGGCTTTGCTGACAGCATCCAACCACCGCCGTGGATTTGTGCCCCTCACCTTGCACCAGTCGTAGCTGGAGGTCGGGAAGCCGTGAAGGAGGACGACGACGTCGGAGCTGCCGACGGCACCGGTCGAATCTGGGGAGGGAACGAGGTGTCTCAGGGTCAGTTTTTACCCCCCGGCAATTTCCTCCCCTCCTAGGACCGGCGTTGCCGGTCACCCAACCAGCACCGTGGCGTCACCTCTCTCCCCCAAAACCAAGCACGGGTTTCACTCACACCACAGCTTCCCAGTGCCAACGTAGCTTGGGAAACCCAGCCCGACGAGCCACCGTGGCTGCTTGATGCAAAGCAGGCTCTTAATTAGCACAAATTAATTGTAGCTGCCCCTAAATGGCTACGATGGGTAACAACTGCTCCACCAAGAAGGTTTTTCGGCAGCTTTTCCTTGCTGTGACCTGACAGAGGCTCTCGGGAGGTGTTGCCGCTGCTAAAGAACCTCCGTGGCTTTACCCAATTAAAACATTTTGATAACGAACAGCCACACCGTGCCGGGATCCACACAGCGGCTCCCCTTAAAGCCGTTACGTTTCGGGAGGGATTTGCCATCTCCCCTGCCTGGCCTCGGGGACGTCCTTGGGGCCACCGAGGGGAGCAGAGCCCCCAGCCCCGCTCTCCAGCAGGACGGATGAGGTGCCCCCAGGGTCTGTCACCTCTGTAGAAGATGTTCTGGTCCTTGTAGGTGAAGTAGCCTCCGGAGGACCTCCAGGAGAGGAGAGCCGGGGAGAGCTTGGGGGGTGGGATGTGCAGGTAGACGGCGAGGAGGGGCACGCTCAGCAGCCCCACCTGCACCCACCACTCCTTCATCCTGCCGGAGAGAGCGAGGCGCCTGTCCACCGGGGTTTGCCCCATAACCCCCATGTCCCCATAAGCCCCACGTCCCCCTAACCCACCTCCAAGCCCCCAAACCACCCAATGTCCCCCTAACTCACCTCCAAACCCCGCAAATCCCCCACGTCCCCACACTCTGCACGTCCCTGGGGTGGCAGGTCCGTGGCAGCAAGTGGTCTCTGCAGTAAAGGTCAGGGGGTCTGAGGGGGAACGTGGGCCCCGTTTGGGGTCTGACGGATGGATGTGGCCCCTGTAAGGGGTCTGAGGGGGGATGTGGCCCCATAGGGGGTCTGAGGGAGGATGTGGGCTTTACTGGGGGTCTAAGGGGGGACGTGGGCCCCACTGGGGGGCTGAAGGGGGATATGGACCCCACTGGGGGTCTGAGGGGGGACGTGGGCCCCATGGGGGGTCTGAGGGTGTGTGTGTCCCCATGGGGGGTCTAAGGGGGTGTGTGGCCCCACTGAAGGTCTGAAGGGGGATGTGGGCCCCATGGGGGGCTGAGGGCGGACTTGGACCCCACTAGAGGTCTGAGGGGGGACGTGGGCCCCATGCGGGGTCTGAGGGGGTGTATGGCCCCACTGAAGGTCTGAGGAGGGACATGGGCCCCGTGGGGGGCTGAGGGGGGACATGGACCCCACTGGGGGTCTGAGGGGAGATGTGGGCCTCATGGGGGGTTTGAGGGTGTGTGTGTCCCCATGGGGGGCTGAGGGGGGCCCTGGGCCCCATGGGGGTGTGTGGCCCCGATCTGAGGGTGTCAAAGGGAAGCCGAAGGTTGGGGAAGGGGTGCTGAAGCCCCGCCCCATACCACACCCCCTCGATAAGCCCCGCCCATAATCACAGCAAGGCCAC